ATCCACAGAGGTTCCTTGCTCTTGATTTAAGCAAGCAAGCATTCCTGCTCCACACAGACCCTTGTGATTCTGAAGGCAAACCCAGCCTTCTCAATTCACAGCTTAGGCTTCAAAGCAAGATGGCCTATTCAAGCAGAGTGTGCTCACCTTGAAGTCCTCTTTCCCCAAAGAGACAAAGAGGCAATGATCTCACACCAGATTCATGCTGGAATTATGAACCCTTATACTAAGGATGGCTCTTGAACAAATCTACTTCCTCTGTGTCTTATCCTTTTGCCTCAATGGGCCCAAATGTCCAGCAGACTGAAACTTACGGACAACCCCAGCCTGGACCCACGCCCTTTCATATAATTACGTTTGCAGTTGCAGCTCCACCCTGGACAGGGTAAGGAACAGGGACAAGATTAGGGTGAGGAAAAAGAGGTATGTAAGGCACAAAGCATAAAGACGCACTCACTCTCAGGGCCACGTGGGTGTGTTTGAGACATCTTATCAGTATCACTCTTGACCTCGCCCTGGAGAGCTACCTTTAGCACAGGCAGTAGTTTCCAAGGGTGTGTAAAAGAGCAGGCTGGGGAAAGCGAGATTTGAAGACATGATTGCTGTCCACAAATATGTAAAAGGGGAGACAGAATAGATTAATTCAATACTATTCCAGAAAACCAAATTGGGGCCAATAAGTAGCCTGATTTCAGCTTGAAAAGAATACAGTTTTTATGTAGCCAGGGCTGGCATTTATAAAGCAGTGTACTAAGTGCCTCACCCAATAATATTACTCATCCTTACAACTCTGAGATGCTGCAGTGTATCACTGCCATTGTAGAGAAGCAGAAACTGAGAATTAGACAGGTCAAGTGATGGGTTTAAGGTGACAGTGCTCAGAAGTAGATAAAAAATTTTAAGTCTTACATAATAAGTTTGCTTGTACACAAATCAGACCACTAGTTATAAACAACAGTTATATCATAGTAGCCTTAATAAATTTTAAAAATCTCTGACCTCCTACAGTTCTTAACTAAATTATAAGTCTTGCTCCAACCCTAATATTTTTAGGTCAAACGGGCCTTAAATACCATATCACGGCTGTCCCTGGCAGAGCCAATGTGATTGTGCACACTTAGATTCTTTTTGGTAGATGATGACAGTAACTACTAAAGAAGTTTAATGTTGGAAAAAGTGGTGCACATCTGTAATCCCAGGACTTTAGGAGGCTAAGGTAATAGGACTGCAAGTTCAAGTTCAGTCTGGGCACCTTAGCAACTCACTGAGAACCTGTATCAAACTAAAAGTAAAAAAAGAAGGCTATGCATGTAGCACTAAAAATAGACAGAAAGAGAGAGAAAGAGAGAGAGAGAGAGAGAGAGAGAGAAAGGTGGTGAGCAGAATTAGCTACTACTACACTATCTTGCAACAAATTATAATTCAACCAGGTTTCAGACTAAATTTTGCATGTACATTATTAAACAAACAAACACTGGCAAGTGGGAAAGACTGTCAACCTGTGTCATGACATCAGTGAATTTCCAACTCTAGTCTTCTCAGGTGTTCCAGTGCACCTTGCTTGAAAGGCTCACAGAGGCAGACAGTGACGCTCACTTTTGTGTGTTGCATTCCGCATGAGGTGCACTTAATCAGAAGTCCACTGAGGTGAGGACCAGACATGGCAACGATTTTACCTCAAGCCTCAGGTACCACCCCAATGTTAAATTAGCTATACATCTAATGTGTTCTTGGGTCACCTGTTCATACAAGGGGGAGGGGATCTCTGAATTATTTTAGCTGTCCACATAGAATGTTGTAATTTCACTAAAGAGGTTAAAAAAGCAGGGAAAATATTATATAGGCGATATATATATATATATCATATATGATAGATAACTATACAAATATATATACAAGATAGATAACTATATTACTAATCTCTGATAGTTCATCAAAAAGAATACTTTGTGATTTCAATGATCATTTTTATGTCTATATCTTGTAATCTGAACAACTACTTGCAATCTATTAACCATTGTTAATCTCCAATTATTTTATTTTGAAATTCTGTATCATTTTTATTCCTTTTGGTTTTTAAAATTTAAAAAGAGGTTGCTTTTATAACACTTACTATACTAATTTAAAAGCTACTCATTTTACCAGTAAAATTTCTTATTCATATCAGAATACAAACTTTCAATGCTCTAGTGTTGTAGAGAGATAGATCATAGAAAAACTTGTATTTTCTGACGTAGGGTAGCTGGGCACTGGGCTAGTACTCTTGGCAAAATCTTAGCTGGTCAGCCATCTCAAGAAATAAAGTGTCAACTGCATACATATTTATGCTATTCTGTAAATTACAGACATTCTAACAACAGCATCATTTGGCATGGGCACTGTTTTGTACTGAGTATAGTGGGCTTTATTTTACTTTGTGTGTGAAAATATTTTTGGTGACCAATTACAGTAACTGTGCATATGAAGTTGTCTGGTTTGTCTGGAAAAGACTGATACTGATAGTGCTTGTAATGACCAAACTGTGACTGAATTCATGCTATAGTTTAATAAGGTGACCTCATGCTATCCGGCCTCTACTTACTCCCTCCCAAGGCCATTATAGCCTTGGGCTGGGGTTGAGACCCATAGAGCTCCCAAGAATAAATGACAAAGAATGAGTGAATTTTCCATCACCAGCTGGTCATTTATTCTTGACACTCCTGATTTAAGGAAAGTAGAGTGAATACTTTTGTCTTTTAAATTTTTTGTTTTTATTTATAAATATATCAGCTTGTGGTAGATTTTAGGGCACTGCCAACTGAAGAATATTTCTGAAAAATTTAATAAAACCCACAGTACTGGGTTTTATTGTTGTTTTGTTTTGTTGAAATAGAGTCTCACTATGCAGTTCAGACAGGAATTCACCACATAGCCCAGGTTGGTCTCACACTCACATCTGCCCTCCTGCCTCAGTCTCCCAAGTACTGGGATTCCAGGCACGTACCACCACGCCCAGTCTTAAACCCATAGTATTTTATGTATTATTCTATGTATGCAAATCTACATTTTTACTAGTTCCCAGAAGATTTTCAAGTTTTCACATTTTTTAAGCCTATAGGCAAAACTATGACATGTGATTAAAAAAATACACTGACGATTTGGTTTTGTTTTACGTTACAGTAAAAGATACATTGCCATTAACCCATCTAAAAGATTCCCCCTGGCTTCTAACACACTATTCTATAGTTCTTGTTACTTTCTGGAGCAATTGTTAAGTCCTTTTTAGTGAGTATCTTTAAACGTGTTGTTGTGGCTGCCTCAATGTCCTGAGTCACATCAAAATGTTTACCTTGCATGGCTGACTGTCTTTGAGAAACAGCCCACAGTACACAGTGTCACATCCGGTGAATGAGAGCACACCTTAATGTTTTTGTAAGCCTACCTTTCCAGTAGCTAATGCTCGACACTTGCGCCCACCATATTTTGGATTATACCTCATAAAGATACTTGCAAGGGGCTGGGGATTTAGCTCAGCGGCATAAGCACGTGCCTTGCAAGCAGGCAGTCGTGAGTTCAATCCCCAGTACCGATAAAAATGAAAAAGACAAAAAAAAAAAAAAAAAAAAAAAAAGATACTTGCAAAAGAAGGCGTCCCAAACTGCTTCAGAAAGTGGAAAGAATAATGAGATAAGTGTGTTCAATGTGAAGAGCAGGATTTTGAGGTGGGGGTTAATATTCACTATAAATTTGATCACATCTTATATGTACAGATTCAAATAGATGAAGTGGGAAAATGGCTCAACCGACACCAGGCAAATGTTAGAAGGCACAGCCTGCAGACGGGAAAGGGTGGAGTCACAGAATGACCAAAGCCATTTTATCCAGCCCTAATGGCATGGTCTCTGTTTAGAAACGGCCTTTTAATAACTTCCCAAAATATTTTCTGATATAAAGTAAAAATAGAAACCAATATTTAGCTCTCATGCAGCCACAAGTTACATGTAACAGAAAGGAAAATGAAATTCACCCATTTTCAATGTTAGAAGAGGCAGGGCTTTCAAGGTTAACCCCATGAGACATTATCCCTTTCCTACATTAAACAACAGAAGCGTCATTTAGGGTGAGCTAAACCTCTGAAGGGTTCCCTGTGACTGAGGAAGCCTGGCTTGAACACAGATGTTCAGGCTTTGGTGGGAAGCAGTCTTGTATTGCTGTGTCTATTCCTGGGGGTACCATCCACCCAGCGCAATAGGAGCAAATGACTTCATCTTCTCACAGGACTTTATATGTGTTTAGACCCTTTCCCATAGAAAGTGCAGTATCCTGAAAAACCAATTAACTGTGCCCAAGAAAAAAAAAAGGTCCAAGGTGCAAGGAGCGCACTAGTGATCACTACTGACTCAAAGTCCGATGTGTGTTAAAAGCAGGTGATGAGAAATTTAATAATTATTTCCCTGATTTTTTTAAGACCTATCCTCACAACAGTTAACTGAACAGCTGAGGAGCAAAATAAACTAGAACATACTAAAACGGGCTTCCCCTAAGATTCCCATGTAAGTTAAAAATGTGTGACCCGGCACACAGGCACACAACTGAAAACCAGGTGTTCAGAACTGCAGTCCCCCAAGCAGAGTTATCAGAAGCAGAATGAGAGCAAAACTCGAAGGGGCGCCAGGAGAGTCGGTAATTCGTAAGTCAGGAGCAGTTTAAGGCAACACTTTTCAAACTCGAAATGTTTAAAGCCTGTGATGGGGAAGATATCACATTTAAAAAGTACTTTTAAACAAAGCAATACCATACAGAACCATATATGAGCTAGAAACAAGAAAAAAAGAATCAATAATACTGATCTTGTTTTTCTTTAAAATTTTGATTGGGGCTCGTCATGGAGTTTGTTTTTTGTATTATTAATTTGGAAGCTCAATTACTACAGAAAACTCGCTGGATGGCTGGATTTCCGGGGCCCCTTACATTAGGAGCCCGCCTTCGCCACCTGGGCCCGGGCCGGGCGCCGCGCCTACCTCGCTTGTTCTGCGTGCCGAGCCTCCGGGCCAGCGCGAGCTCCCGCTGGATGCGGCTCTCCAGGTACTCCTGCTTCCTGCCCAGCATCTCCTCGGTCTCCCGCAGGCGGGCCAGGGCCTCCTGAGCGCTGGGCGCAGCCCGGCCCTTGGAGGAGCCGCCCCGTTGGAAGAACTTGGCCAACTTGCTCATGGCTGCGGTGGGGGGCCAGCGGGCCCCGACCCGGCGCCGGTCCGGGACACGAGGACGAGACGGTCCGCCCGGGCCCGAGCGCCGCGCTCCTGCGAACCGGCGAGCCGTCGGGCAGGTGACTCGCACTCGCCCGGCCTTCCCCGGCCGCGCTTCGGCCCCGCCCCTCGGCGCGGCTGCCCTGCGGGCCAGGGAGGGCCGGGATCCCGGGCCAGCCGGCGCCACCGGCCCGCGGGGAGCTGGCTGAGCTGAGAAGGGTTGGGAACCGAGGGAAGACGGCTTTGTCCGCACTGGGACGCACCGGGGATGGAGAGCTGGTTTGTGAGTCGCTCAGAGAAAAGAAACCAGTGGTGCGAGCTCTGGTGCCAGGCCTGAAAGGTGTGTGTAATGCATATCAACGTGCTTTATCGTATGCTTGTACTTGTGTGTGTGTGTGTGTGCGTGTGTGTGCGTGTGCGCACAGTGTTCTCATACTCGGGTCTCTTCTTGTGAACAAGAACATTCAGGTAATTTCCTCTAAGTGCTGGTTAGGGGAAGATGTGTGACTTTGGGGACATCTGCCTGCCCCAGTAAGTCAGAAGCCACTGGGCATGCTGAGCCTGTTTGTGTTCCTGTGGTCCCTGCTGGTTGATGTGGGCCTGGCTGCCAGGTGACCTGATCATCTTTACATGGCTTCAAGTGGATGAAAGATGGTGGTCATCTCTCTTCCTAATGTCAGGACTTAGGAGTGTTTTGCAGGTTGAGCTTACTTCTATAACTAGAATGTTAAACTTTAAGCATGATCGCCAGTGTAGGAAAAAGCTTTCTGTGGGGCTATCCTGTGTGTTTAAATCTTTGTCAGATACTTTCCTAGACATGCAAGTAACGTAACATGAAGAATATCCTAGAGAAAAAAAAAAGCATCATTTTGCTCATGTTCCTTATCTCTGTCCCATCTGGTACAGCTGCAAACAAAACACCATGTCAAAATGCCTGGACAGCAGGGTAGAATGATTGTGGATGCTGGACCACTGGACACCTGTATATTAAGCATGCTACAAAGAAGTAGCATGTAGAATTGAGTCTGTGTTCTAGTTTTCATAGACAAACATGGTACACTGCATAAGCAACATTATCCAACATTATCAGAACCTATTTGTGATCATTAGCCAACCTCTGCTAAAGGGGAAAATGGCATCCATTACTGTGACAAATTCACCTTGATATCCAAGATCAATATCACAATTTTGCCCGCCATCATATTAACACAGAGCAGCAAATGAACCCATGTTATCTGGCATTGTACAAACAGGATCAATTTTTGCCAAAGAAAATGAACATTTTCATAGGAGGCTTACTAGTACACTACACACGTGCATGGGTTCTCTCTCTCTCTCTGTCTCTCTCTCTGTCTCTCTTTCTCTGTCTCTCTCTCTCTCTCTCTCTCTCTCTCTTTCTCTCTCTCTCTCTTATAATTTCTGAGTAATCCAAGCAAGTCACTTCTTACCATTTTCTGCCTGGCCATCAAAAACACAGATGGTATCTGTTTTACTCTAATTTAGTATAATCATAAACAGTAACAAGTATATATTTTTGTTTTCTCAAAATGTCATCAGTATTTTTGGCATTTATTTTCTTGATTAAATAAAGTTGAGAACTAGCTCATATTCTACGATAGTTCACACTGCCAGTCTGTTGACCCGGCCTTGAGTGTTTTCTATGTAATACATAATAAGAGTACAAGCAGAGTCTCTCCTCCAAGAACTCACTTTCTTTCCAGGGAATAGTGACATCTTTTGAACTGCTGTGTGGCAAGCATGCTACACTACATTATCAATTTCTACATAAAACCTGCAAAATAGGCAATGCTGTTTCCATTTGAGATAAAGTATCGGGTTGACTTGGTTATTGGGCCACACTGACATAGAGAATAAGAGTAAAAGGTTTTAAAACCCATGATATTTTTATTATTTACATGACCTCATTCCCCCTGAGTTGGTCTAGAGGAGAAATTCATTTAAAATGTGTTTAATTTTAAAAAAAAAATGAGTAAAGAGGCTGTTAGGAGTTTATTACATTTAAGAGACCCCAGAAGCGTTACTGAATTTGTGGAAGGTTATAGTCAAATAGGATTCTAAAACACTGCTTTGTGGTAGACTGACTGTGCTGTTTATTGAAAGAACATTGAACAATGGAAAAGAGGGCCTGAAAGTTACAGTGAGGAGGTGAGCACCCATCCATTGTTCATCATCATACACTCGACAAGTATGTGCATGCTATAGCCATTGTGCTGGTAGTATTTGGAGGATATGATTAAGAACAAGATAAAATACACCTTTTCTGTTCCAGTATATCTTACAGTTTAAGGAAGAGGCCAGAAGTTAAATAAATTATCTCACAAAAAACAGACTTCATAAGTTAAAGTTCTATTAAGTTCTATGGAAAAATATGGGAACTATGGGAATAAATAATAAAAGAAACTGGTTTTCTCTTCAAAGAATGGTTAGAAACAGTTCCATTTAAGTGGAGATTTCAATGACAAATAGAACTTACCTGACTTTGCAGAAAGGAAGCTAGTGTTCCAGGATAAGCGATCACTCATTTCTTCCTTTATTTGTTTCATTATTCATGTATTTTTGTCTAGGTACATTATATTTAACCAACATAGCTCTAAGTGCAGAAATTTAATAGTAAATAAGAAGATAAAAATCCAACTATTTTGTAGCCTACTTTCTAGTTGAGAAGACATAATTAATTAATGAAGGAAATAGTGTACTAAATATGCTGTATGGAAAAAAGTGGAGGCTATTAGAAAAGTAAAATGATAATCACTAAGTACAAATATCTTGAGTCTGTAGCATTAGAAATTAAAATAATGATAGAGCAACTGGGGTTTGGAGATTGGACAGTGTGATGAAACTGCCTTCAAATGTAGGCAAAGTCCAGATCATGTAGATTCTGTACCAGATGCTAAGGATCCTATACTTTCGCTGGAGAAAAAATAGGAATTAATCAGAAATTAAAGAGCCTACTTATTAATTTATAATTTAATGAAAAAAATCTCAATTTATTATGTAGCACTTTTAGAAGACCATATGGTATGCAATGCAAGATACATTTAAATTAAAAATCATTCCCTTCCCTTAATACATAAATTCAGCAGGGAAAAGTTAATACTTGCAAGCAAGTAAACCATCCAAACATATATTAGTGTTTAATCTGTCAGTGAGATGTAGAAAATAAATTTTTAAATCAATGGCTTAAAAGCTGAAAATAATACATTAATCTTCATTCAATACTCATCCTACAAATGTAGTTTCATAAACAGTTCTCAGTATCTAGTGTATTTTTCATTTTCTAATCTCAATTGATCTCAACTAATAAGGAGGCTGTTGTTCAAAAAGAATGATCTTGTTCTGGATGATTTACCATGGTTAAGATGGTAAAGGAAATTAGAAATTTATAGATCTGTTAAAAAGACCTCGATGTCAGGTTAATTGATACATTTTGGCTACCCCTTGAAATTGCATCCATTTTTAGAATGCCAAATGAGCTTGCTAAAGCAACACAAGAAGAATTATCTTTTAAACATACTGCAGAATAATCATCAAATAGATATTTATTAACCAGCTCAACAAGCATGTACACATTCTTTTCACCAGCAGTTCTTTTTGTTTCTTAGACCAGAATACTGATGGTCTGTAATACTCAATTACAATCAAGAGGACAAAAGTAGACATTACAAAAATAATAATTTTGCAAAAATAAAACTTTGCCCTCATTCATAATGAAAAATATATGGTGCCTGTGGCTGAGTTTTCCCTATGTAGCTCTGTATCCATGCTCATTTCATCCCTGATCAGATAGAAGTTTAAAACTCTAAGGTTTATCACAGCAGATTAAGTGTTTCTTTGCTACACCAACCATTTAATGGATTTAAAATGAGATGCGGCCCCCTACCTCAGTGTCACTCTTACTGTACAACCTACTCAAAGCTGAGTTTTACACCTTCCTTTACCACCAGAATGTCATTATACATGAGTATAATCACATGAATTAATTTTGTTCCTAATCAAGAAACACACACTTCTCCCCAGTGCTGTTCCCTCCTTTCTCAATTAATAACCTCTGTCTTCCTTCCACTCAAACCAAAAACCTTAAGTCTGCTATGACCACCTCCCATCCATCTTCAAATTCCAGGACTCTGATACGGAATGCTGACTACTTGTCAACATTTCTAAAACTGTGCGCCTCGTCTGTGATTTGAGCCACAGCCATCTCTCACTAGTTTATATGAATTTCATATAAATGCCTTCACCCTGCCTCAGACTCCCTACACTGCAGCTGGAGTGGGCCTGGGCAAAATATTCTGCTGGCTTCCTGTATCTCACTCTTGTGAAATCCATGGGTTTCACAAATGTCCTCGAGCCCTACCTAAAGAAATAACCATCCTTATCTCAATTCAACAATACTTCCCTGTGCATACCACTGTTCTGTTCTGCTGGCCCCCGCAGTCCCCTCACTGTGGCTGGAACATGTAGTCTTTGCCAGGCTGCGTCTCTGCCTAGAAACCAGCCCCTAGCTGCACATATTGTTAATACTGTCACCGTTTTTTTAGGTCTTTTCTGATCACCTCCTTATCCCACCATATTTAAAATCATTTTCCACATCCTAATGTCTGCAAAACTTCTGTCCTCTTCCAGATTTATTTTTCTTCACAGTTCTTTCCACTACCTTTTTTAAAAATTTTTTTTTGCGTACCAGGGATCAAACACATGACCCTACACTTGCCAGGCAGGCGCTTAGGCCACTGAGCTAAATTCCACGCCTTCCCCTACATATTTTATGCTGATTTTTTCTTTTTCTTTTTTTTTTTTCTTTTCTTTTCTTTCTTTCTTTTTTTTTTTTTTTTTTTTTTTTCTGTCCTATACTCATGTGGAACACGCCCCAGGAAAGCAGAGATTTTTTTTTTTTTCTCAGTAATATGTTCCCAGTTCCCTGAGCAAAGCTGGGCATATTATAGGCATTCTGTCAATATTTTTGACAAATAAATGAAAAAAATACATAACATAGATGATAAAATATCCAAATGATGGCACAATACACAAAAAATGTTTGAAATTTTCTAGATCTACCAATCTGTGTCATCATTCTGATAATGAGACAGAAGACGCATCTATCTATAGTTCTAATCATTAAAACTTTGAGACCAGTAAGCAAAAGTTCTCACAAAATGTCTGGTCCATCTTACATGGGACAAAGGAAAAATCTTGCAACGGGTATTATACCCAGCATTAGGGAAGCAGATAAACATTTCTCCTCTCGAAATGTTTTATAGTTCATTTTTAAAATATTTTATTCCTTTTTACAGTGAGAATTTTGAGTAAATTTAGTACCTGTTAATGCATCATCCAAAAAAATCTATATTTAGTTTAGTTATTCTTGAATAAATGCAATTTAAATGGTCACGTCCAAATTATGTATGTTTAATCAAGATGACTACAATTATATCTCTAAAGAATAATTACCTGAGAAATGTTACAAACTTATTAAATGGAGAAAATGATTACTTAAAAAGATACTTTTCAACACCCACACATAAGCTGCATGCATATATACACACACGCACCTACACAAAGCTGTCTTTGTCTATGACCATGATGGAGTAGGTATGATGATAAGTTTTTCTCTGCATCACACCCTTCCTCATCTTATGACTAAGCTCTAAACGCTAAACATCGTGAACACTCATGGGCCAGGTATAATGATACACGCCTGTTATTCCAGCACACTGGGAGGCTGAAACAGAAGGATTACAAGTTCAAGCCTACTATGGGCAACTTAGCAAGACTGTCTCAAAATAAAAAAATAATAATAAAAAAGGGACTGGGATGTCATTTACTATGAAGCCCCAGAATTCATCCCCAATATGACAATCAGACAGTCAAAAATAAAATATACCCTCTTAAGTTTTGTACAACACTATTTTTAGTTCCTTAACCACTTTTTTGCCTTCATTTCAACATGCCCCAATTTGCATGGCTCACACTTAAAAGTATCTACCCAGAACCAAGCAAACTGCCACACGAGGTCTAGCATGTGAGAAGCTGGTGCTTGGGTGGTAAAAAGAATTTACCACTAGTCAAGAAAGACAGGAGATACTGCAAGAGAGCATTGGGTGGATTCCAAGAATGGCATGTGCTGTCAGTGTGAAAAGTGAGGTTTTTATCATTGTTTTGTTTTGTTTCATTTTTTTCAGGGTCTCACTATGTAGTTCTGGCTAGCCTCAAACTGACAATGATCCTCCTGCCTCAGCCGCCTAAATGCTGGGAATACAGGTGCACTCCACCATGTCTAGCTTATATTTGATTTTAGAGTGAACAGAGAGTCTAGAAACATCATCCCAGGAATATTTTCTTCAGATCATGGTGATTGTGTTATCCATCTTAATTCTAAGGGTAGCCAATATGTTTTAGTTTGATGAGGTCCAGTGCCCTTCCATTGCTAGAAGTGGTTTTTCTGTATAAAACTAATTAACAAATACGTAGAGTGACTAATATTAGTGGTCAAGAAGATCAGGTAGGGGCTTTTGACATTAAGGGGCTTTTGACATTAAGTTTGAACAGGGGAAGCAATGGTATGCTTTAAGATGAGTAGTGACATCATTTAGTGATGTATGCATACTTCCTGTGCATAGCTTATGGGTGGAGAGATGATGTTATACTACAGACTCATCTCTCAGCTGCAATGTGGCCTTTAAAGAAACAATGATAAAATAATCATTATGCCCCAAATGAACCATAACAAGCATTTTAAGTAGGGGGAAATAAACTACTATGTTCATATTCCTTGTTTTGAAGATTATATTTTTATTAATCTAGAATAACATTGTAATGGCTTTGGGGGCAGCTATAGGTCAACACTGATTTATTCATTCATTAAGTCAGTGAACAGATATTTCTTGAGGCTTCACTATAAGTCAAGCACTAAGTGATGAGTTGGAGATATAGTAAATAATATGTAGTCTTTGTCCTGTAACAAAGTGACAAAGGGCAACAGACAGCAATCAATAATCATGGAAATATAACTTGGAAATTGTGACAAATATAAGGAAGCATATAGAAATGTGGGAGATCTTTGGGGTAATTAAAACAATTGGCTTCTAAAGTTATCCACCTCCTAATTTTTGAAGGCTGTGACTATTCTGTCTTACATGGCAAAAAGACTTAGTGAGTGTGAGTCGTTTAAGGCTCTTGAAATGGGGAAATAGTTCTAATATTTTCAGATGGGCCCAGGCTGATCATAAGTATCCGTAGAATAGGAAAACAGAAACTTAGAGCCAAAGAAGGATATGAGAGGAGAAAGATTTGGGTAGGAAGATAGAGAAGTTTGAGGGTACCACTGGGCTAAACTTGAAAATGAAAGAAGGAATCATGAACAAGGAATGTACAAGTCCTTTAGAAGCTGATTAAGACAAAAAACTGGATTCACCCTTTAAAGACTTCAGAAAGATCATAGCCCTATCAATAGGTAGATTTAAGAATTTCTGGTCTCTAGAACTTTAAAATAATAAGATAGTTTTCGTTAAGTCATTATATTTGTACAATTTGTTAGAACAATAGGAAACCAGTACATATAAAAAAGAACCCAACCCAACCCAACCTGGGAAAAGTCCTAAGAGCCTCTCTCAAGAGCTAAAAAATGAGGTGGAGAAAACCAAGAACATTTGGGAAACAGAGAACACCTTCCAGACTAAAGGAATTGGTGCAGGAGGGAGAGAAGGAAGCTGCTAGGTCCAAATGCCTTAGAGGCCAGCGTGAGGACATAAGGGACAGAGCAGTTTTAGATACTAAAGAGACAGGAGTTAAGTCATTTTTACAAACAGCCTATAAAATTTATTTTACAATGTTATTTTAAATATTAAATGGAATAAGCCATGAAGTACTTGGCACATAGTAAGTTTTAGTTTTATTAAAGTTTGAATTTAGAATGTTCAAGAGTTGATTTTGAATGTGATATACTGTTGGGCACAATTATATGATTAGTAAAGGCATAATAATATAATAACAAACTTACAGGCATGTGATAGCGAGTTAATCAAATAGTAGCTTCTGCCTATGTTCATGCTGCCTGTTATGTAGCTAGCCTGCTAACTTCAGTCATCCTGGACTGTCTGGGTCCAGCTGCTTTTCTTCTGATAATGTGCTAGGCCCATTTGACAATTCTCAGTTTATGTTTCCCTTAATTAAGAGAATATAATACTTCTATCTGGCTTCAAGGACTTTGTTTGCTTGGCCTGAAGATGTTCCTATATCACGATAAACAATTCCTTTTAAGCAAATGTACTTAGAGTCAGTTTACTTGACAGTATATGACTTAATTCAATCCATGTAGCCAGTCACACCAGGCCTTGTACTTCCTACTTGCAAACTGTATTTAAACTGAACCCAAAACTAACTGAGTGCTGATGATTTGGAATTGAAATTCCTATCAGTCTGCTAATATAATAAACAACAGCTGCCTTCTAGATTCCTTGATGCAAAGAGTCTTCCATTTGGTTTGATATTGGTTTTTCTGTAACAATACAAGATAAACTGAGATATAAAAAGGACAAATAATTTTGTCGCATATATTATGAACTATCACCCTATTCATTTGTTTTATTATCCATCTATTAATATGATATTGTACAACAAAGCACCCTAACACTTTAGGACCTCCACAAAGTCATTTATACTCATGCTTACAGATCTATAAGGTATGGTTGAAAAATACAGAAAATAAACTTTTTTTTAAAGATTTCATTACAGCAAAAGACGCACTAGTACTACCTCCTCAAAATGCCCCTCTTTGCTTCAAACACACTTATTCCAGAGTTCCCACTTTTTGAAGTAGCCCCGGAAGTCTTCTTTCATCAGTACCCTTAGCTGTGCTATTGTTGCCTCAGTGTCCTGAACTGCGTCAGAATAATTACTTTTAATGAGCATCTTGACTTTGAGGAAGAGACAGAAGTCACATTGTACCAGATCTGTTGAATAGGGTGCATGAGGTCATGCTATATCTAGTTTTCTTAATTTTTATCTTTATTTGTACATGTTTGCAGCATATAATTATATTTACTGTGCAAAGTTAGTATAGGTGTATAACATATCTCAATTCTATTTTCATACATTTGCCATCCCTCCTCCTCTCTGCCTCCATCCCTTGGTCTCTTTTTCTTTTTGTAAAGGCTCGCTCTCCCTGTTTCCGGTCATCTATCTTTTATTTTGCTCTTTAATTTAAGGACATACCATAATATTTTTTTACAATGCTTTCCATTGGATGGCTCTCAGCAGTAGTGTTTGAAAGAGTTTTGGCCCAGACAGGACACTGTAGCTGGTAAAGCCTCAGACAGAACCAAGGAGCTCCTATCTCTCCCACCCCTAGGAATTTACCTGTGACTCTATCTTCCCCACCCCTAGGAATTTACCTATGGCCCCAAAAGAATACCAATGGGCTACCTGTGCATCCCTAATGCCCCTCAGGCACCACCCCTAAGCTACATGTATGCCTCTACTCCATGTGTTCCATGGAGAGATCGCGGACCCCGGGGGGAGATTCTGCGCCCCAGGGGATTTGGGGTGTCTCTCCCCACATTCTCAAAATAAAGGTCATTTATATTTCATACTTCTTTTCAGCTGTCACCAGTCCCCCACAGTTCTATCATATGGTTCCCTGACCAGGAACAGCAGACGAGAGACTCCTGGGGCTTTCCAATTTGAGTCCCCTGTCATTCAGGACCAGGACCGGACTGCATCCTGCATTAATTCCTCACTTCTACCCTTGGGAGCTGTAAACTTGTCACTGCTGGCTCGCAAACAACACTGACCCAATTTACTACAGGTGAGCAACCCCTGGAGATTGCCACTGGGCCAGGCCCCAGGTGGGTTTTCTTCCCCTTTCCGTGGGTTCACATGACACTCTCACATCCTTAGATAGCCCAAGGCAGAGTCTTTCTGGGCCAACCTGTGTCCACATTGGGAGACTCTCATGTCCTTTGGGTTCAGATAGCCCAAGGCAGAGTTTTCCAGGGCCAGCCTGTGTCCACACTGAGAGACTGTCACATCCTTCAGAGCTTTTTAAGTTCTCATGGGCAGAGCTGTTATTAAACCCACATGAAATCCACTCGTATATTGGTGATGACCAATTATTACGAGTTTCGGAACAATATAATACCAATCGGTCTAGAGTAAAAAGTGACGACTTTAAACTTAGTAGGCCGCAGTCCGTTGCCTCATCTGGCTGTAACTCCGTGGGCCAGACCCCACACCAGATTTTATCTTGGGGACCACTTCCTGTCCCCCCTCAAAAAACCATACCTATTTATAGCTTATCACACTGAGGACAAGTTTACAAAACTCTCGATCTTTAAGCCTTTGTTTTGGGAATGTGTGTCCTTCCACGCTCCTCCAGGATCCCTCCCCCTCCCCACACTTAAAGAGATAATAGCGTCTTTCCTTGCAGCCTTTTGGAGCTTTCTCAGCATTTCCTTTCCTCCATGCTTCCTCTCCCCCCGCCCCCCGCCGTGCACGCCAACCCATTCCCCACCGAGCTGGAAAGTGCACCCAAACAGTGTTGAGAGATATGCACAGGCTGCTTTAGGCTTTCACACCACGTGCCCAACTCCGTGTGGTATCTCGACTCTCATGTGGTGCTCCAGGTCTGTGCGGATTCGGCTTTAATGCCGTGCCCCAATCCACATGCCCCATAAGCAGTTCCAGCTCCACATGGCAGCTCAGCTCCGTGTAGGTCCAGCTACCAGCCATGCCTCCGGGAGCAGCCCCAGCTTCACACCACGTCGGGACGCCTCCCAGCTCCATCCCCCATGCACCATGTGCCCATGCGCTGCCACTGCTGCAGCCACTGCCACCCTGCGCATGTTTCGGGGGCAGTCCCAGCCCGCCCCATGCACTACAACCCGGCACTCACCCCACCTTCACTCTGCATGCGCCACCCCCACCCTAGGCGCAACCCACCCAGCCTCAGAGTTCCGTCCTGCCTTACGTGCTGCGCATCTCCCAAACACAAGCGCCCCTTTAAACCACAAACAGATAAACAGCAGCTCGGTGGCTTCACTCAAAGATACTATTTTTTACATTCTCAAACCATTTAATCAAGGTTAAATAAGCCGGCAATAGACAAGACTTTGGCTGATAAATGGAAATGGCCACCTGGTAATTTTACCAGTCTTGTTGATCAATTAAAGCCTTCAGTAATCTCCTGTTTGTCAGCTAGGGTTGGGAGGTATTTGTGAATTCCTTTTGCTGTGGACTGCTGGTGGTGTTCTGTGTTGGTCTTACTGCCTATGTTGTACTGTGTTGTCACCAAGCTCCCGTTTAACAACTAAAATTGGGAGATATTTGTGGATTCCATTAGCTGTGAGCCACCAATGGTGTTCTGTGTTGAGCTTACTGCCTATATTATACTGTATTGTCACCGATCTTAAAAAATAATTATAAATTCCTTTTGCTGGGAACCACTAGCTCTTTTCCAAAACAAGGGTTATATGATATATGCAAAACAGCAAAACCAACACTGTGGCAGAAGCCAAGCTTAAACCTTTCCCAGCCTATCTGCCTGCCCTAGCTCAGCCCTCCACTGAGCCATAATTAACTATATTCAACTGATATTAAATAACATAGCTGATTTCTCTCCTAAATAAGAAAGTAAAAAATTAAACAGGCCAGCCTCTAAAAATCAGATGGCATTAGACATTTTAACAACATAAAGAGATACTTTTTATATATGACATAAATGACATGTCAGTTCCTAAAATTCTCTGGACCTGTTATAAATACCCTGTTGATTATATTTGACTCCTGCATACTTACTTAATTCTACAGATACCTTCTACTGTAGTCCAAATCCCAAACAAAAAGGCAAAACTTGACCTTCAAACTCCACAGAGACCTTCTTAATATGGCTTTTCATATTTTCAACAACAAAAATAATAATAACACTTGTGACACTTGGAGTTCTGAGACAGGTAAACCAACACAAGGTGGAGCTGCCTCCCCTGCCCCATGGACAATGTCTCAAATGCAGCAGGACGTTGGGCAAGAGAGTGCCCCATCCTGGCATTCCTTTGGGACCTTACCCCAGGGCTACTGGACTGTCCTAGCCACCAGAGAGTGGGTAAGCCATCCTAACTTCCAGCCCTCAAAGGAAATGCCAACACTTCCAGATTCATTGCTGACAGATCTGCTTAAACTTGCTGCCGAAGACTGATGGGGCTCAGGGTCAACAACAGCCCCCTTTATGGGTGTCCATCTCAGAGTCCAAGTCCCACTAAAAGTCTCAGGTAAGACATTCTCTCTATACTTGTGGACATAGAGGCCATATGTACAGAGTTCTTCCTGAGTTTTCAGACCACTATAATAAGTCCTCAATCTCTAGGAGTATTAAAGGTCAACCTATGCCATTTACAAACAGGCCTATTTTGTACAGGTCCCAGACTGCTTCTTCCCAATCCACCTAGTGGTGCCAAATCTTCCTCCACCACTCACTCTACAGTCCTAAATCTTAAAAATGCTTTTTATTCCCTTGTGTTTATACAGGCTGACTTAGACACACTGAGGCCTCAACAGCTGACACCTGTTATCACTAGTAAACCTCTCCTCAGTAATATAAGACCACCTCCTTCCTTTCTTATTCACCAATTTCTCAGACAACCCTGGTCAAGACTGACAGATAAATTTTGTCTTCTCACCTTTGTTTATACTTTTTCAGGATACATAAAAGCCTTTCACACAACCAGGGACGCTGCTGATATACTTGCTAAAGTTCTGTTACAACAAATCATTCCAAGGACTACAAACAGGTTACAGTGACCCATACCTGATATTCTTGGCAACCTCAACAGTGATAAAAGTTGCTAGATTCCTATCCTGGTTTCACATCACTCAGGCTAAGTGGTGCCCTCCCAGCCCTAAATCTGATCATTCTGAGTTGTCATCTCATCTTCTATCGCCCATTCATCTCCGTTTCACGAAGGCCTCACAGCCACAGTTCACAGGCTAAGTCATGTTTTGTTCTCCAATTTGGTTTCTAATTTCTTATTCTTTCTTATTCTAATTTTTATTCTTCTTCTCAACAATATTTCCTAAAGACTCCCACATCATACATACCAGAGACAAGCCTTACCTACCTAACCTTTTAACTTTTACCCTTTTAGATGGAGGAGTAATCACCTCTCATAACTTCACTCCTCGGGGCTGGGGATTTAGCTCAGCGGCATAAGCGCCTGCCTTGCAAGCAGACAGTCGTGAGTTCGATCCCTGGTACCGGTAAAAATGAAAAAGCTAAAAAAAAAAAAAATTAAAAAAAAAAAAATAACTTCACTCCTCCTAACCTCACACTTATTTTTCAGAATTCTACCTCACCGTGACAATGATCCTACCTCAACATCGTTCTGATATAATGACATGTCTAAATCAAAAGCACCTTTCCTTCTACCTCACCTGGGTCCTTAAATATGACAGTGCCATGCCTCCTTATAACATCTTATCTCTTTGTTTTTCCAGTCTAACATATGTGCATTCACCAGTGAAGTTGTCCTGGCTAAAACACCTGGCACCAGCTTCTACCTGGACATCAACCATCATCCTGTCGACTCCCCTAGACCCCAGTACAGCGTCCCCTGCCAGCAGGAAACAGTAAAGAGAGACATCTTTGCTCCTTTTCATAATAATATTCATAAGAAAGGATATGAAAGAGTTTTGGCCCAGACAGGACACTGTAGCTGGTAAAGCCTCAGACAGAACCAAGGAGCTCCTATCTCCCCCACCCCTAGGAATTTACCTGTGACTCTATCTTCCCCACCCCTAGGAATTTACCTGTGGTGCCAAAAGAATACCAGTAGGCTACCCATGCATCCCTAATGCCCCTCAGGCATCACCCTAACCTAAGCTACATGTATGCCTCCACTCCACGTGTTCCACAGAGAGATCGCTGACCCCGGGGGGAGATCCCACACCACAGGGGATCAGGGGTGTCTCTCCCCGCATTCTCAAAATAAAGGTCATTTATATTTCATACTTCTTATCTTTTCAGCCGCCATGGGTCCCCCACAGTTCTATCAGTGTTTACTAAACTTTTGATTACTCCTTGTAAAACACTGGTGAAAGAAAACTTCTAGCATGGTTTTAAGAAGTAGTAAGATTTATGGCAGAATGGGAAGAAAAAGTTTCCAGTTACTCCTCAGACAACGGACTAATTTCTACAGTATATAAAGAACTCAAAAGAATTAGACCTCCCCCACAAATTTAAAGAACTAACCAAACATGGGCACCTGAAATGAACAAATACTTCTCAGATGAAATACAAGTGGCCAATAAATACATGAAAAAGTGTTCAGCGTTGCTGACCAATTCAAAAAAGGCAAATTGAAACAATACTCCTTCTGAGTTAAAATAGCTATTAAGAAATCAATCAGTAACAAACGCTAGTGAGTCTGCATGGGTGTAGGGTCTTCTTCCTTGTTGATGGGAGTGTAAAGTGGTACAGCCACCGGGCAACTCAGGGTGGAGAGTCCTCAAAAAACTAAAAACAGAAATTCCATTTGACCTAGCTATTCCTTTTCTGGATATCTTTCTCAAAAGATTTAAAGATATCCTAGTCCATGACTGCAGAGACAAGTTAATGAAGAGCTGCACAGAGAATACCAACATAACTACAGTCATGGTCTCAAACAAGGCATTGCTAACATCCCAGAGGTCCCCCATCACCATGTGTACTTTCCAAAAGTCCCTTCCTCAAGCCACAGCTGTCACTCCAGCTGCTCACCCTTCTCTCTTGCACACTAGCTGTTTTCCTGATTTTCTTATAGGCACACCACTATGCAGTGATCCCTAACTATTTAGCAATGCCTTTTTGAACTTTATTTAAGAGGAATTATATACTATGCACTCTTTGGGTTTGGTTTTCCACATAGTGCTACATTTTTTAGTTTCATCAATGTTCTTATACACAGTTCTAACTAAATCGTTTTCACCATGGTAAAGGGTGACATGGTTTGACTATACCATGATTTGTTTGATGTTTTGTTGTGGGTGAGCATTTGGCTGATTTTGAATTTGTTCTGTAAGAAACAGCTATTCTGAGCATTCATGTATATATATCGTCTGTGTTTACAGTTCTCCAGGGTATAGCCTCATTATTCTTCCAGCTGGTTAGACTGTGATCACTTTTCCATTCTAACACCTTGGGGAAATGATGCTTCAGATATGGAGAGCAATCTACATATCAGTTAGTTATTAACAAATGTTTCTTACAAGGCCTAACAGCACTGTGATAAATTGAAAAAAGAATTCACCAATGAATGAAAGATCAGCTCAATTATAAGACTGTAAACATATATCCTAGTAAGGGAGATGTTCATAACAGTAACTGTGATAAAATTTGGAGATGACCAAGTTTAATAAAGCAGTACAAATAGAACAAACAAAAATAAAAAGAGTACAAAGAAAGAGTGGTTTCATTATAGTAAAAAAATGAATGAAAGTACTGAAAAAGTGGTAACATCTGAAGTTCACTCTCAAGAATAGGTAGAAAATTGATTTGTAAGACGGGTAAAACCATACTTCAAAGTAAATTGAACAGCTGAAAGACACACAGGTAAGGCAGCTGGAGTAGTATTTGAAACCTGTAATAATTCAAAAGCCAGTGAATAAAAGAATTTAAAATATTTCTTGCTGAAAAATAGGCTCAGGGCAATTATAATACAATGGAGAGGAAAAACAGGCACATTTCTGCTTCTTTAGGCTTCTAGCTTAGAGAGGGAACAAACATTAAACAATCACACAAACAAATGCAAATCAAGTCTGGGACAAATGCTTTGAAAAAGATACAGTGAAAGTACTAATGGCTGGATTTGTTCTAGGCAGAGAGAACAAAGAATTTCTTAAGCAAAAAATGCTTGAAGTGACAACCAGAGCAAAAGAAGAAATGGACAAGCTGAAATAGGAAAGCAAAGAGCATTTCAAGTGTCAGAAACAGCAGGTTCAAAAGACCTGAGACTGTGAGAACCGAGTGTGAAGAGGCCTTTGAAAGACAGTAAGAAAACAGTGCATTGGGCCAAGAGTTGAAAGATTTTAAATGCTGACCAAAAAAATCAGTTTTAGCCTACGTGAGCTCCTTGAAGCCAGAAACTACGTGTTATTCAATTCTGTATCAGACATAGAATAATATCTGCTGTATGGTGGGTTCTCTGTAGTGGATTGCTGGATTGATCTTAGGGCAGATTTATTTTGTTGCTAATAAAAGCCACGGGGGAAAAATTGGGGAGTGAAGCAAATAAATTATAATACTGATATAGGGAAATGAAACTCCTGACCTACTATGTCCAGTACGAGTTCGTGTTCTCTAACATGAAAGAATGAATTTTAGGAGCAACAGAGGTTAAGAGTAGAATATATTTATTGAGAGAAAGTAAGCTTCTGTCTGAAAGAGACAGAAGGGGTCCTGAGTGGGTTGCCAAAGACTCTGGCTTTTCTAGGGACTTTTAGAGAGTAAAATCATGAGTTCAAAGAGGGCGGACATATAGGACTGGAAACTCACAAGGCAGTTGGGCATAAGGTGGGACAGAACTATGGTTAGCCAATATGATTAATAGTGCAGGTAAAATTGATTACATTAGGGACAAATGGGGAAGCCAGTCATGTAGAAAGCAGGCATTCTTAAGGAGCAGTGACTCTTCCTTAGGGGAATGGAGACTCCAGGCTTTCTCATGGTGATAGGGAACTAATTAGAATATCAGTCCTTAGGCTGTGGATGCATTTGTTTGATCCTTTGTCTTGAAGCCTGGCCCACAGGAGGAGGTGTCTGTCTCACCCAGAGTTGCAAGGTGTCTGGGCTTCTGCACTGGCTCCTTCATGGACCCCCAGCCCTGTCTGACTGCCTGTGATATTTCTAACCAGCTCAGCTGCCTGCAAAATACCACCAGGTTAGTGTTAATAAGAAAAGTAGCGAGTACTACTCGAGCAGAGAGCTGCTATCCTAGAGGACCAAATTTTGCTTATGCCTTCTGAAAGCCTTCCCAGATGAAAGTGTTACAGGCAGTGGAGTTAGTTAGTAGTACTGTAGGCAGGGAGACAGGGCTAGGTCCTCCAAGGAGCCAGTGCAAAAGTCCAGATATGGACTTGCCTGTGGTGTGCCAGGCCTTAAGATAAAAGATCAAACAAATGCACCCATCTCCAAAGGACTGGTATTCTAAATAGTTCCCTATCAACCTGGGAAAGTCAGGAGTCACCATTCCTGTCCTCAGGGAAGAGTCACTGCTAAGAATGTCTACTTTTGTGACTAGCTTCCACATTTGTCCCTAATGTAATCAATTTTATCTAAACAGTTAATTTTATCTAAACAGTTCCCAGTTTTCCCCACCTTAAACCCCTCTCACCTCATGATTTTACTCTATAAAAGTCCCTAGAAAAGACAGAAATACCTTGGTCACCCACTTGGGACCTTTTCTGTCTCTGTCAGACAGAAGCTTTTTTTCTCTCAATAAATATATTCTGTTCTTAACCTCCCTTGTTCCTAAAATTCATTCTTTGTTTTTAGAGAACATGAACTCATACCAGACATAGTAGGTCAGGAGTTTCATTCCCATATATCAAAGTGGTAAGAGAATTACATCTTTTTAAATTTCATCCTTTTTTTTTTTTTTTTTTTTTTTTTTGTAGTACCAGGGATTGAACTCTCAACTTCATACTTGACAGGCAGATGCTTACACCACTGGGCTAAATCCCTGGTGAGAGTTACATCTTGAAGGTGGAGTAAGAGACAAAAGTGTTTCCTAAACTTGGCTGAGAAGAATAAATGTGAGACTGTGTGTTAAAAATACAGCTTCTCAGAACCATTCCAGACCCTCTAATTTAGACCCAGAAAGAAGTACAAGTATTTATTTATTAATGGACACTTTGCTTCCTTCTTATTTTCAAGAAAGTTTGTGAAATACTGGTAGAGAGAACATTCTAGGGAAAAAGGCAGGTGCAAAAGTATTTACCCAAATAAAGAGGTATACAAAGGAAACTGAGGAGGGAGTTTGTAGAAGTGGTTATTACTGAGAGTGGAGAACAGGATGGAGGTCAGATTGCAAAAATCTTTGAAGTGGCAAGAATTCTGTAACAGTGAGATGATGATAGGTGAGAAAATGAGGGGTCTTTGGAAAGAGGGGTAATCAGAGAAATGCAAAAGTACAGATTTAAGAGCCATCTCTGAAGCCGAATTGATAATGTTTAATGACTACGCCCAGGAGAGAGCAAGAAAGAAGAGGTGAAAAATGAATCCAGCATTTCAAACATGGTAGTGTGCTTTTGGTAGAGAGGGGATGATATGATGAAGAAAACATTCCATTTTGGGCTAAAGTTTTACAGGACAACACTAAATGGGTATTTTTAACAGATCCTTGGAAATAGAGACCTCAGTTTCAAATAAAGTTCTCAGGGTACATGGGTATTGTAGTCTTTATATTGAAGTCATGGGAATTTCACTTGTATGAGGATGTAAATTGATGAATTAATATTTCCATATATTTGGACTGTAACATACATATTTGCTACCTATCTACAACTTTCAAATACATATCTAGGGGGCTGGGGATTTAGCTCAGGGGCATAAGTGCCTGCCTTGCAAGCAGGCAATCCTGAGTTCGATCCCCGGTACCGATAAAAATGAAAAAGACAAAAAAAAAAAAAATACATATCTAGAAAACCCTCTATTGATTGACTGGATTAGCTACAGAAAACATAAGAGTCCCAGTAGGTCACCGATCCTTAGTTTCAAGAAGTCTGGTACAGTACTTGAATTTTAGTCTTAGCTTTTCTGATAATTTTCACAAATTTTATAGCTTCCATGGACTAGTTTTTTCTGCAAAATAGACAAACACCCCCCAAAACAGCTAAGCTCCAAAAATTTTTCCAGAGACTCAAGGAATTCCAACATTTAAAAAATCTTAAATTCTGAAGTATCAATTCCTGTTTCCCAGTTCCACTTTTCTGTCTTCCTCAACAGATACTGATTTGGGACACCTCTAAATTATATACAGTCAACCAAATAGTTCTCTAGTTTCTGTCACGAGTATGTCCCTCATCTCCTCTGACTGGTGTTGGGTGTCACGCTTGTGGAATGGCATCCTTTTTACTCCACCTCCAACGCCTCTCCTTACTCAATCCCCGTGCTGTGGCTCATCTGGCACATGATAGAGGAATCTCGTTTCCTCCAGGTAGTGCTAGAGTCTGCGCAAACCGACCAACTCTATGTGCTTGTAAACCACTCGAAACCTCAAGGGTTGTTTTTCTATGAAAAAAAAAATGTTTTAAGAAGAGAAAAATAAATCTTTTTTTTAAGCCTTAATGACTCCATTGCACAAATATGTACTTCAAACAAAATAGTGAATTAGTGCACGATGAGTCGGGGACTAAATAAGCAGTATCTCTTACTTAATTCTTGCAATTTTTATGCCCAATACTGTGCTGAGTTCTACAATAATACTATTAATTGTTCTTTTTTTCGGATATCTGGTATCGAACCCAGGACTTCTTGTTTGCCAGGCATGCGCTGCGCTGCTGAGCTTTATCCCCAACCTCACTAATTAATTTTTAAATTCGTCTAAGATCATTCCTGATTCTTGCGGCTGCACTCACAAATCCGCAGGTTGCAATATTCCAGAAGGGCAAAGTTTTCCTAAGAACAGAACCAGAGAACTTCGGCTCCAAGAAAAGCACTCAGAAGCTACCGCCTCCGCGCGGGTCTCGGTGCCAGCGTCCAGGAACAGGACACCTGGATACCACTTTGGCTTCTGGTTGGGCAGCTTGCGGCCCCAGCCCCGCCCCCACCCTCAGGCCGCACCCCCGGCCGTCCCCACTCCCAGCAGGCACCGCGTGAGCAGTGCTGCCCCGCCCCTTGGTTCGTCCCATCTCCTCGCGGCGCTGGAAAGATGGCGGAGCTGGACATCGGGCAGCACTGCCAGGTGGAGCACTGCAGGCAGCGAGGTGATGCCCCAGTGCCCATCCCGGCCACGGGAGAACGAGCCCTTGCTCTTGCACCACGGATGGTGGCGCGGGTGGGGCACTGGCTCTGAGGCCCGGGTAGGGTGCGTCCCCCTGGAATGAGAGTGTGTCAGTGTTTTTTGTGGCTTTTGCTGCCTATGTGCCTTTGGAAGAAACTTGTGACCCCCCACCCCCACCCCCGATCTCCACGCAGTTTCTGCAAACGGACCTTGAGTTCGGTGTAGTTTGTGCACTTGGCCAGAGAAGGCCAAGCGCGCACTGCTGGGTCCTGGAGCCCGTACCGGTTTCTCATGGTGAGCTCCGATGGGTTCCAGAAAGGAGAGGTTTAGGTCTCTGAGAACCACTTTCCAAAACTGTTTACTCATTTTTTGCTCATATCAGATGAAAGAGTTTGGTATTCAGGTTCACAGCCTCAAATGAGAGTATTTGGTGACAAGCCCTTTTACCAGATTCTTAAAGGGGTGGTTATCCTCAAACTTCATTATCCTCTGATGATCATTATCCTCTTCTTGCTCATTCTTTGATCCTGATTGTCATTGTTTGACAAAATATTGATAAAGCATTGATTTTGATACTGGACCCACATAAAACTATAAACTCCCCCCCCCCCTTTTTTTTTTTTTTTTTTTTTTTTTTTTTTTACACAGAAGAGCTTTTAGGCTAGTAAGCTGTATTTTAGAGAGCACTGACACTGGTGATAGTCTCTCTCTACTGAACAGAGTTATCTTGTAGTACAGCCCCAGTAGAGTGGTGCAGGCTTGAGCCTGTGCTATTCATGTAACAGAGAGATTCTTGAAGCATCAGAATCATACAGACTACTTATGTCTTTGGTAGTAGATTTCACTCCAGATCTTTGCGTAGGGTGGCAAATGGGTTTCATCCGCCCTGCAACTTTAGGCATCGGTAGCAAGTTCCTGAATCAATGTGTTGAAAAAGACTTTGAGGTTTATCCCAAATTCAGTGTGAGGGTCATAACTTATTAGATACTTTGGGCATGACAAAAGGTCAAGTGACATAGTCCTTGCTAGGTTCTTGTTACTCATAATGTTCTGTAGATGTATCTTCCACTATATTACCTGTAATCACCAGCCACTCAGCAGGTAACAAGCTTGTTTTCTTACAGTCTTTTCTTACTGAAGCTTAGCCATTTGGATTTTGACTATAGATTTGTATATCTGGTGTGCTTGGTTTTCTCTAGTGGGTTAAAAAATATTAGCTACCATGTGTGATACAATTTGTCTTCCTTTTCCACTTCACACTTTTTACCTTTAGTGTAAAAATCTGACAGATCTCTTTTGGACCAGTGTAAATGAGTTAAATTGAATATCCTAAATTTTATCTAGCTCTTAGATAAATAGAAAAGTGATGTCAGAAGCTAGGAAATTATCTTGATTTTAGCCCTTGCCCTTGGATTCTCCAGGTTTACATTTAATATTTACTTAGTTACCAAAAGACTCAAGATAGCAAGTGCGTACTGTTTTACATGTTGAAAATGACATAAGCTTTGGCAAATAGTACATGCTTCAGTTTCTCTTATTGAAATACATAACCTTCACTTTTATCTCTTTTATTGGCTACAAATTAGTGGGTTTCATTTTGTCAAGTTTGTACGTGGATATGACATGCTTTTATCCTTTTCACCAACCCACATCATCATTCTTGCCCCACCCTCCCCCTTTTTTTCCTATTTTAAGGCACTGAGGATTTCAGTAAGTTTGTTTTGTTTGTAGCCATCCTCCCATTACCCACCCTTCCACCCTTTTTCCTGCCTAGTCCCCTCCCCTCCCTCTTACTCCTTTCTTTTGGCTTAATAATAGATTCCTTGCTATTCTTTTTTAGAGTCTGGAGTGCATTCTTTGTTTGTCTGAGTCTGACTTTGTATCACTCAATGTGATAAATCCAGATCCATCCATTTCCTGCAAGAATGAGAATGAGAATTTCATTATTCCTTGTGACTGAATAATAATATTCTATTTCTAGGTATACCACATTTTCTTTATTTACCCATCTGTTGATGGGTACTTAGTCTGGTTCCATATATTTGTTGTGAACTACACCACAATAAATTTGGCCTCTTTATTGTATGCTGAGTATGGTTTCAGGTATATATATCTAGGCGTGATATGGCTGGATCAAATGATTTTACTGAGGAGCCTCCATACTGACTTCCAGAGAGGATCTACTAAAGTACATTCCAGCCAGCAGCATAGACAGCCCCACCACCATCCTCACCATTTATTGTTTTTTGCATTCTTAATGCTAGCCATCAAGACTGGGTTTAAATGGAAGCTAAAAGTAGTGGTTTACTGGTTGGTTGGTTGGTTGGTTGATTGGTTTTTGAGACAGGGCCTTTCTATGTCGTTTGGGCTGGCCTTGAACTCCCACTATGTGGACCAGTCTGGCCTTAAACTTGTGGCAGTCCTCCTGCCTCAGCCTCCTAAGTGCTGGAATTACAGGTACATGCCACCATGCCCAACTTCAGTGTAGTTTTGATATGCATATCCCTAATGACTAAAAATGTCAAACAGTTTTTCACGTACTTACTGTTTGAGCTTCTTTTGAGTATTGTCTGTTCAGTTCAGTTGCCTGTTAATTGTCTATTTGATTTTTTTAGGTTTACATTTTTTGAATACTATATACATTCTACATATTAATCCTATGTTGAAAGTGTAGTTGGTAAAAATTTTCTTTCATACTGTGGGCTGTTTCTTTGCTCTGTCAGTCATTTTTCCTTGCTGTGCAGAAACTTTAATTCACTGTGATCCATTTGTTGACTCTGTTGTTTCCTGTGCTATTGAAGGTCCTATTCAGGAAGTCTTTGTGCTTATAGCTTCAAGTGTTTCTTCTATGTTTTGTTGTAGCACTTTCAAAGATGTAGGTCTTATATTCAGACCTTTTATTCATTTTGAATTGACTTTTGAATCAGGTTAGAGAAAGGGGTCTAGTTTCAATCTTCTAGTTTTTCCAGCATTATCTGCTAAAGAGGCTGTCTTTTCTACAGGGTTTTGTTTTGTTTTTTTGATTCTTTTGTCCAGAATCAGCTGGCTGTAGTTGCCATTCTGTTCAGTGTTCTCTATTCTGTTCTGCTGATGTATGTGTCCATTTTTGTGAGTGGAATTTTTTTTTGACCTTTTTTCTCAAGTAGCCCATTATTAACATATACTGAATTATAATGTTCATTGTATATCCTAGTACATGGCTGAGTTCATTTATCATCTATAAAAATCTTTTGTTAGAATCCTTAGGATCTTCTAAGTTAAGATCATATCATCTGGAAACTATGATAATTTAACTTCTTTTCCTACTTGTATCTTTTTAGTTTTTTTCTCTTGCCTAATTGTTCCAGCTAAAATTTTAAGGAGTGGGTCCGAGATGTTCCTTAGCAGCCCAGTGCCTGCCTGGCAAGCATGAGGTTGTAAGTTCAATCCCCTCACAAAATAGAATAGAGTAGAGCAGAGCAGACTGGTAAAGAATAGATTTTTAAGGACTACGTTGAATAAAAGTGGAGAGAGAAGAATAGATATCTTTGCCTTGTTCCTGATGTATACTTAATTTCTCAAGATGGAACTGAAGCTGTCATAGCAACACTGACAGTTTATCAAACCCACTTCTATGTAAAGGAAGACTTATTTAGACTCTTATTCTACAAGCATGATTACCCAGGGGTCCCTTTTGGTTAAAATACAATCTATCTTGGATTAAGATAGCTTGTAGAGTGAGATCTTTTCAAGGCAGTTGTAACTTTAGTCTCTAAAGAGTGACTAAAAAGTACCTTCTGGGTTTCATTTTGTAAAAGTAGTGCTGTTGAGTGTGTCCAGCCTTCCTTAGTGCCACAGTGTAATGTAATATTAAGTATGCTGAAAACAGTTTAGAAGGTGGGTAATTTTAGCTGGTGTTTAATGGTTAGTTGCCACATATAAGAATGAATATTTGTACATGCTTTCCAAAACTTCATTTCCTAACTTGATTGCTTCTTAGTTGCTTGCTCCTAATGTAGTTGTTTGTCAACCACAAGGAAGTAGTTCCAACAGTTAACTTTGAAGTATCAGTCCATTTATTGAATTTCTGGAAGCTTTTTCAAAGCATATCTCCCTGGTGTATTCTAGAATTGAGCATATTCAAAAAAGTTAATTGTCATAATTATTTCTTAGTAATTATAGTTACCATATTGTTATTCCGGTATTTTACACGTATTTGGATTTTATAATTACTTGCTGAGGTAGGTGTGACCCACAGCATAGAGATCTATATATACATATGCGTACCTCTTATCTAAACGTATATACACATGCTTTATGCTTTGTGTATGTATGTATGTGTTTACTTCTCTGTATTAGCTAACAGTTTTAGGTCTGGGAGTATGTATGTATAACATGCATGGAGAGGGAGATATATACATATATATATACACACAATATCTTACAGTCACATACACTATATACTCTTACTATATGTATAAAATGTGTATATCTCACCAAAACTTTACTATTAAGGAACTGACTTAATAGAGCTTCATTAGTAAGCGGTGAAATCAAAATTAAATCCCCAGATTTGTGATTTGCAGAAGTTTTACAATATAAAATCTTTAGAAAGAACATCTAGTAAATTTGGAAATACAGGGAAAAGAAAGAAAAAGAAAAATGCCATCAAAACTTCTTTTCATATCAAATAAAGCCACAACAAGTAACATCTGTCACCTATTTGACACTTCTTTCCAGAGTTAATAAAGTTGTCATGACTTTTGTTTAATAATGATTATGTGGTGATATATTAGAAAATTAGTCCAAAAGAGAAGTTCTTCTGCAAAGGTGGACCAATCTTTTAAGATGTGTATACTGTACTATATCTCCTTAAGATTCTTTTTCTATTAGAAAACTAAATCAAAAGCAGATATTGACCAGTACTTACCCTATTTCCTCCAATTTTAGATTTTCTTCCATTTGTATGTGATGGTTGTTCAGGAATATTTTGGTAAGTTAAATTTTTATGTGGGACTTGGGAGTAATTTCAGTATTTCTAATACAGGGTTAATTTTTTTTTTTTGTACTACGATTCGAATTCACAACTGCATGCTTGCAAGCAGGCACTTATGCTGCTGAGCTAAATCCCTGGCCCAGGGTTAATCTTTTAAAAATATAATCATTTGAAATAATTTCAGCCATTAATATGTAGTGATTACTTGGGTGAAAAAAGAAACTCGATTAGTCATAGGCTCTGATTACTTATGCATCTATGTGATTCATCTTTCAACTTGTAGAAATGTGATATTTATGAATTAAAGAATATGGTAAAAATCCAGCTCTGATTGTTACTCTTTAGGCTTTAAAATTTTTGAAACTATAGCTGTTCCATCTTTAATTTTTCTGGCATTTTATTTTTATATAAAAAGTTATTAACATTGTGTGGGAACAGTATATCTTAGGAATACCATATTAAAATAGCTTGAGTTGCCACAGTTATCTTTAAGTGCATTATTTGTTTGCATTTAAATAAATGCTATTTTTTTTTAATATGTTTAAGCCTTGAACACAGAAGCAGGGAATCTCATGGTTGTCCTGAGGTATGTTAATGTAATCGGTTACTATTTATTTGTTTTTATGCAGTTTCATTCAGAATTTGATTAAATTATGGCTAGTCAAGGCACTAGAGATTAAAGTTTGATATCCTAAAATGATTAGATAAAGTGGATTTTCCTTCATTTAATATTTTTCTTCTTTCTTTAAGAAAAATTAGTTTACTTGGCATTTACAAGTTTTTATCGTCATAATTATTATTCCTGAACATTTCTGTTTTAGTAGCCCACTTAGCCTTAGACTGTGTATTTATAAGTTAGAATGAATGCCATCATTTAGTCCTTCCATTTCATTATTTCAGTGCTGTGCTTATTTTACTCATATCTGGTCATAGTATTCCTTGTAAGTTTTTCTGGCTCAGTCAGCCTTAGATAAATTTATAATTCAACAAAATCCCTATCCTAATTCCAGACAAACTGATAAATTTAAAAGGGGGTGACAGATAGAAGTCAAAATAGCACCTTTATTACTGATAGTGAGTAAATTGAATGTTGAAGCTTAATGTAAAGCCAAGGGGTCTGTGGAAGAAAGTTGGAATTCGGCTGACTTAGACATAGCAATACTGGACCAGGTTAGCCTTCCTGCAAGCCCTTCAATTTCAAAAAGAAAAAGCTGTGTTTACCATGCCTAGGGTCAAAATTTGCTTAAACTTGGCAAATAGCTACATTGCATCACATGTCTTTTAAACAGAGAGAGGCAGGAAGTTAAACTGAATTTACCATGTAATAAGAAGCATTTGTCTCTAACAACATACAGGTGGTATTTATTCCTGCTTACCATTTATCAAGCACTTTTCTCAGGATTTTTACATCTGTTCTCTCAGGTTATGTGAGTTCAGTCAGACTATAAGCCTTTCAATCCTTTTTTTTTCTTTTTTTTTTTATTGGTATAAGGGATGGAACTCATGACCTCGTGCTCGCCAGGCAGAGTCTTATACTGCTGAGCTAAATCCTTGGCCTTTTAAGGGATTTATTTAAAGAAAATTAAAAACTCCTTAATGTGATATCAGGAAGTATTCATATGTTGTAAAATTTATTGATGTTTCTTATATAGTTTATAAATTTTTCATGTTTTCTTTTTTTATTTTATTCCTGTGAATTAACCTTGAAACTATTCAGTCTGATTAGTTAAAGAATTAAAAGAATTTTAATAGGTCATTGCAACAAATTTGGAAGGATATTTACATTAATTCCTGCAAAATGCAGCTGTGATTAATCCAAAAGAATTTCCTCTGTTGACAGTTTTGAAGATTTTATTTCCCTAAATTTATTTAACTCAAGACACTTTGTTACTTAATGCTCAGGAGCTTGGCTGATGTGGGTTTATTTTTATTAATTTATATTTAGTGTTGCAAAATCTTGTTTTTCTCTGATCTAATTTATAGCATTGAAAATAGTGTATGATTATGAAAATTATCCTTAAACTCAGCCTCATGGATAAATATATAATTTTAAAGTGTTCTACCCACTAAATTAAGTGTGCAATCCCCTAAAACGGATATAGAAAGTAGTTATCATTTGCCATTTGGGATTGATGAAATGATCATCCAAGTGTATTTTATTATGAGGGCATCTTTGTATGAGCCTATTGCAATGTAGAAGATTAAGAAAAGTCATTTCAGTTGAGCATAGAAAATTAATATGCACAGTATGAAAATTTAAAAGAACAGCACAGTATCATACATTATGTGAGAGTGTGTGTATTGATCTCATAAAGTTAAGTGAAAATGATATGAGTGCTACATTCCAAAATAGACTCATAAATTTGGTTTAAATGTGACCTGTAATGCTGTTTTTTCCTTTTTTACATTTGCAGGTGACTGTAATCAGTGAGAAACCAAAGATAGATACACATGAATCTTACCCATGCTCATTCAAGGACTGTGCTGCAAGAGAGCTTGTGGCAGTTATATGCCCATATTGTGAGAAGAATTTTTGCCTAAGGTGGCTCACTTAGACTATTCAAGCTTTGTATATCTGTTTAAGTTGCATACCAATATATGAAGTGGTATCACTCTTCTGTTGTTCATAGACACCGTCATCAACCAGATCATGAGTGTGAAAAACTAGAGACCCCAAAGCCTCGAATGACTGCCACTCAAACACTTGTTAAAAACATTATTGGTAAGTGTTTAGAAAGCTCATTTTGGTGCTTTCCTTATTGCTGTGTGGTCTGTTTATTTCAGAGCACCTACCTCTTATAGCTTATTACCAGTTATAGAATATATTACTAACAGGCCCAGTGGCAACAATTTATAATTTGATGACATTCTTGTGATAGTGTTTTGCACAAGGGCTACCTTACCAATGATAATTTGTATATTGTGACTACCCTACCAGATGGTGTCTTCTGCTGGGCTGCTTAGATTGGCTTGTTAGTTATTATGGCTAGATATTCATGAAATTGCATAATGGATTGCTTTCTCTATAGAATAAACTCTTATAAACCTCCTATTGACTGTGCTAGGAATACTCTTGGGTAATATGAAGTATCAGGAAAAAACAAATTGTCCTTGGTTACTTTCTCATTACAGAGACACAATACCTAACAACACAATTGTAAGGAAGAAAGGTTTATTTTGGCTCACAGTTTATAGAGGTTTCAGTTCATAGTTAGCTGGCTCCAAAATAGGGCATCATGACATGGTGGTGGGGAACAGAGAGTGATCAGGGGAGGAGGGAGAGAGATACACTCTCTAGGCCACACTCTCAGTGACCTGCCTCCTCCCACGAGGCTTCACCTCCCAATATCACAGTTAGCCAGAAACTTACAACCTCCATGATCCAGTTGCCCACTAGAGCCCTACATATGAGCACATGAGCCTTAGAGGGGGCATTGAGATGTAAATCATAACCATATGCATGAGTTAATCTCTCTACCAATATGTCAGTTCAGCAGAATTTTCATTCTAGATTAAGGATAGTACTAAATCTTAAATTTTTTATGTAGAAACATTAGTGGCTATGTCATATCAAGTAGTCTTATGTTAGAAAGAAACACATACCAGTAAATTTGTTGATATGGAAATTGGTTATGTGAGTTGTGAGGAACCTGTGGCATGCATGCTGCAGCAAACTGTTTATAATCATTGAAAACCCTGAAAGGTTTGCTATCAGTGGTTAGATCAACCTCAGTGAAACTTTTCCAGTAGCAATATAAAGTATTTTAACTTGCAAAGTGAATGTGGTTTCTGTGCACTTCTATTGTGTGTAATTTATGTGTGTTATGGGATTATAATTAGCAGTTGTTTTACTGGAAAAGGCAGTATAAAAGTTCCTAATGTGTTTACACGCTTACATTTATTTCTTAGATTCCAAGACAGAAGAAACAAAAAATAAACGACGGAAAGGCGCAAAAAATAGTGAAACAGCTGCAAAGGTTGCACTGATGAAATTAAAGATGCATGCTGATGGGGATAAGTCATTGCCACAGGTTGGTCTTGAGAGTGAAAAACAAAAATTTGGCCTCTGATGCCAAATTTTTGGAACATGGTTCTCTGCAGCTTTCTCCTCTGAGCAAAGATTTTCACTTTTGCAGTTTTGAGGCTATAAAGGATGGAGACCTACTGCTTCCTGGAATGCCCCTAGCAATCTTTTTTATTTATCTGTTCCTTCTCAGCCATCAGAGTCTCAGCTCTGTCTTTACAATCCATAGCTTTACTGGAGTTTTCCTTCTGGCCAAACTCACAGCATTTTAAATCATCCTGCTGGGCTTTTTGCTCTTTTTTGCAACATAAATCTGGCTAAAATCCACCAATAGTCATGCCACTGCCTCAACATTAGATTGCTTTGAAATTTCTTTTGTCAGATTAATCAGTCCTCCTTAGTCTCAGTCTCAAGCAGAGTCTCTGGACATGAGCAAAATGCAGACAAACTTTCTGCCAACCCATTACATACATCATATACATCATGTGGAGTCCAGAAAAAACCCAATGCAGTCTTTCTTCCCAGCAACAACGTCCTGAGCTTGATCTTTATAGGCGGGCTTTTTCAGGCAACATTTCCAAACCTTTCCAAACTATTTCCATAAGCCAATTCCAAAGGTTTTTGAACCACATGGTCAAGTATAGTCACATCAACTACCCCACTTCTCTGGTACCAGATTCTGTCTTAGTTACTTTTTACTTGTCACTGTGACAGAATACCTTGACATCCAGAGTTAGGGAAGGAAAGGTTTATTTCTCACAGTTCTTGGAGGTTACAGTCCATACTTTGTTGGCTCCAAGGCAGTGTGGCGTGGCAGGGCAGCCATTCATGGCTGCTGCAAACAGCAAGGCACAAACCCACAAGAAAGAGTGACACAACTTCTTCCTGCTGACCTATCGTATCCTGGCTCTACCCCTGGTGTGTGAAGCACTTACACCACCAATATGTGTGCTAGACAGTGAACCAATCACAAACATTAGATTTGATTCGTCCATAATTGCATGAGGCTTGGGGGCCACAGAGATAAACCATGACAGGCACACATGGTAAGGTAATGCTTACCATATTCAATTACATTATCTTTTTCTTAAGTTTATTCTTAGACTTTTTATAATTTTTATTGCCATTGTCAAAATTTTGCTGCTTTCTTATCTGTTATTGTATTGACCTTTTATTCAACAAATACACTTGAAATGGTTTCATACTTTGTAGATTTCTGTGTGATCGTGTCTTCTGTAAATTCCAGTTTTTCAAGGATTTTCCCCCAAATTATCTTTTTTTTAATCCTCCCTTTATTATTAGTACTGAGATCCCCACAACAGTGTTAACTGATAGTTAAATAATACAAGAAACAGAAATCTTCATCTTTTTTTGGTGGTGGTGGTGCTAGAGAATGAAGTCAAGGCCTCCAGCAAGCCAGGCGGGTACTGTGCTTCACCCTTGAGCTGCATCCCATCCCTTCATCATATTCCTAACTGCAGTGTAAATCTTTCTAAAGATTCATCAACTGTAGCCTCTGTCATACTGAAAACACTTCTGTTCTTAGTTTGCTGGGCATCTATACGATAAACAGATATTAAACTTCACTAGAAGTTTTTTCATACTTCTAGTAAAATAATCATTTTTCCCTTTACCAATGTGATAAATTATGTTGATTGTTGTTGTTGTTAAATCAGCCACACAATTCCAGGGTGAAGCACTTGACTCACTGACAAATATTTTAAAATATAGTGCTAAATTTACTTGCTAATTTTTAAAAATTTAGTATTGCTTAAGTGACGTTAGTACCAACATTATACTCTTTTTTCTTTGTGCTGGTTGTAAAGATTAGGATTATAACACTGAATTGTCATAACCTTTTACATCTGGGGATTTTTTTGTTTTTGTTTTTGTTTTCATTTTTGTTTTGTACCAGGAATTTAACCCTGGGCCTCATGCATGCTAGGCAAGCACTTTGCCACTGAGCTGCATTGCTGACTGTTAGCTCTTTTGTGAGGGGAGAATTTTGAATACTATTCTAGTGTGTTAAATGGTTTCTGGTTTATTTAGCTGTCTATTTCTTTTGAAGTCAATTTTGGTAAATATTTTTCTTAAAAGGTTGTTAGAAATCAATTTTCTAGGTTTTTTTGTTATAAAGTTCCTCATGTTATTCCTTTATAATTGCAAATCTCTATTGTTTTTCGTCATTCCATTTTATTCTTAACATTCATCGTTTTACTTTTTATCTCTTAATAGTCTTGCTAGAGATGTCTAGTTTTTGCTAGTCTTTTCAAAGGACCATGTTTTAATTTGTGTTCATCTATATTGTATTTCTGTTTTGTGATTCAGTATTTTCTGCTCAAAATTTCATTTTTTCTGGTGTTTAGGTTTTATCTAATGTTCATTTTCCAACGGGTCTCACATAGAATGGTGAATGCAGTGTAGATGTTCTCTTTATTTTGATAGGAGTTCAAATATAGAAGTCTCAAGAATAGTACAAAGAACTTTTGCATATTTTGTACTCAAATGCACAAATTATTTTTATTTTTCCCTACTTACTTTAATATTTGCAATCTCTGTCCCTGTACGTGTATCCTTGTGTGTTTGTGTATGTGAGAGAGGCTGTGTATGCTAATTTTTGATGTGTTTGATCTATCAGTTTCTGAGACAAATGTGATACTAAACTCTCCAATGCTGGATGTGTTTTTGTCTTTTTTCCTGTAGCTCTAAAGGTTTGCTAGGTTGTATATTATTAAACGTTTACAGTTTGTTCATTTGGTGGATCTTTGTGATTTTACCTCAGATTGTATTTTCAATTATAATACTGTTTTATTAGCTTCCTTTTGGTAAATATTTAACTGTTTTTTTTCATTCTTTTATATTCAGCTTTCCCTTGTTTTGTTTTAGTGTCTCTTGTAAGCAGCATATAGCTGGAGTGTATTTTTTAAATCCAGTTTTATAGTATCTCTTTTACAGATGAGTTAAACTCATTTGTATTTATTGTGATTGCTGGTATGTTTGAATATATTTCTTCTCTTTTGTATTTTCTGCTCATTTGCTTTTTATTTCTTTTTTTTTCTTTCCTGTCATCTGTTTTCTTATTTGAATTTTCTATATTTCCTTTTATTTTATTGGTTTGGAAACCATTGATTAGTTTTCTAGTTTTTGTGATTATTCATAATGTACTTTTTAAAAAAAATTTACTAGTTTTTAAAATTACAAAAGCAGTACATTTAACAAATTAACTATTAGAAGATGGTATGAGAAAGGAAAAAAAAAGCCAAACACACATTCCTTATCCCTCATCTATTTCTTTCTTTCTTTCTTTTTTTTTTTTTTTTTTTTTTTGGTACTGGGTATCAAATCTATGACCTCACACTTACCAGGCAAGCACTTGAGCCACTGAGCTAAATCCCTAGCCCTCCCTCATCCATTTCTATCCCATTTAATTAGTTATTCTCTAGACAATATCTAGAGATTGTTACAAGCAGGGATAGAATGTACTGATGTCTAATGGATTGAGAGTAGGGCTGCTTGTAAATATCTGGTGGTGCACAGGAAGGTGCCCAAAACAGTTTTCTGGTCCAAAATGTTCTTAATGGGCTGGAAATCTGGTTTAGTGCTAAACGCTTGACAGCATGTGCAAGGCTCTGAGTTCAGTACCTAGTACTGCAAAACATGATGGCACTGGCAAAGTTGATAAGAACTAGCCCAAATTATCCAGTCAATAATATCATTCATACTAATTTGCAGTTTTTTTTTTTTTTTTTACTTAATACATGATTAAAAAAAATCTCTTTAATAGCACTAGACTTTGTCTTAGGCACTGTTTTAAAATGTGTCTTCCTTGTAACAGGCTAATGAGGTATGCACTATCACATATGAGAAAACTCAGGCACAAAAAAGGATTAAATTACTTGCCAGTAACATGAATTGTAGAGAGAACTACGCATTGAAACAAGGCTTCAGAAACTGTTTTCTTAACAGCCTTAGCTCTATGTTATGAAACATTTTCCAAGTCTGTTGACAGCTTTTCCCCTTATCTCTAATATTTAGATATATATGTGGATGTAAGTATAGATACAAAGATACATGGGTGCAAATGTGTTTATATATACATATACTTTCATGGGTTTTGTGTATTATAGCACACATACATACTTTAAGTGTTACGTATTAGAAATTATTCATCCATCTCAACTTTATGATTACTATATCCAAATTTAAAAAGACCTCTCAATATTTTCTTATTACCACTCTCGGACAAATATGAGAACAAATGACAGCCTGTAACAGAAAATGTTAAAACATTTGAAAAGTAAAAGATAACACAGCCTGGTCTTAGAATGTGCTTTTTACCTCCCTCCTTTAGCATGGGAAATAGATACAAAGTGAGAATTTGGCTGTTTTTTTTTTAAAAGGCCTCTCTGTTTTTTTGTCAGGATTTTTTATCCTATTTGCCTTTTCCACCTGAAAATTCTATCTACTGCCTGCTGACGAGATGCCAGTAGTAACAAGCAGAAAACCTCAATACATTGAATGATTTCTATGAAGTTACATGAAGTAACTTCATAGAAATTCAATTTCTAATCAACATCTATTAGCAAAGTGATTTGGGGTCTGATTTTAGGCCTGACTCAGAACAGTTCTTAAAGATTTACTTTGGCTTTGCATTATATGACTTACATAAATTGGAGTGAAATATTTTTACGATATCACCTTCCTAGTAATCTTTATATGTCTTTTTATTTATTCAGATCATGTTTTATTACCTTATTCTCTTTTTCTTTTGTACCAGGTGTTGATCCCAGGGCTTGCACACTGAGCTAGATCCCAAATCCTTTTTATCTTTAATTTTGAGACATGATCTAGCTAACTTTCTCAGGCTCAGCTTGAATCTGGAATCTTTCATTCCCAGCCTCTCAGAGTGCTGCACTTAGGGGCATACCACATCACACTCTGCTTTCGTCATTTTTACCATGTATTATTTTAGGGTTTTTGTGAATAGAATATTTCCCTCACCTCTGT